CCCCACAGCTGCACCTGTTCCAACTACCGCAAGTACTTGACAGTCACGGAACACACAGGAAATTTTTCTACAAACCTCTGGGTGCTGCTAGAGTTCTAAACAACAGAATGACATGGATGGATGAACAGTGATATTGTTCCTTGCCCCACTAAGTACTTGTTCTTTGGCTTGTAGTGCTGTCTGGCTTTCCTAACAGAATGTGTTTCATTTACTATTTGCACCATCAATCATTCAAACTCCTCTGTGATTTCTTTGACCTATTGTAGACATTAGTCAGGTTTAAGATATGAGGGTAGTGCATGTGCACACACACAGTCCTAGTGGTACAGAGAGTAATATTGCTCCATGTGTATAGCAGAAACTAACAAATTTACTTTTATTAAATCACAACTATGTATTACAAAAATAACTTCATAATGATGTTAAATATTAAACACAAAGGTAAAACAGTTGTGTTTTTAAAACAGAATAACATTTTTGTGTGTATGTAAAGTTGTTGACCCAGACCTGTTTAAGACTGTTGGTCTGCCTTTACCAGCTGTATTTAGTTCTTGCTGACCTGAAGATATATCAAACCAAACTACATGTTAAGGAACATGTTTCATCTAGGCAAGATTGAAAACAAAGTTTCCATGCTGCTTAGGAAGGAAACCAAACCAAACCTGAATCCATTTTAAGCAGAACAATTAACACTTGTAAAAATGAAACCAAACACCACCAACTGTTTGGAAGTGCACAGTGGTTGAGAAACTTTCACTTGTCTTCCACATCTGCTACCACAGCCTCCACTGCATTCCAGTCCAGCTTGCTGAGGATACTTCCTGTGCTCTCCGAAACACTGTCAGTGTTGATACTGCCAAGAGGAGAGAAACCCATGGGGGACAGTGCAGAGGCCTACTGGAGGAAGAGAAGATGAGCTGAATCACTGCACATCATTCATGGACAGTAGAAATGATTCCACTCCTTTCAAACGCACCCTGATCAAGTTATGTGCCTATGTGATTATGCTGCAACAAATATATTTATTTTCCTATTTCTGCACTCCCACTAATCTGTTGCCTGGACAGATAATGTGTCTATACAGTTGTTATAAAGAACATTAAATTTCAAGGCTCGTAAGAATGACTTTGCTCTTGTAAAGACAGAATGTGTTGAACCAGCATCATTTATGTCCCTCTGTATCTATCCTACCCACATTCTGAACAGAGAACCACTTTTTAAACAAAACAGAAGTAAACAGTATGTTAAATCACAAGTATCAGTAATTCCTAGAATAAGTGAATAATCTACCTGAAAAATGGAGTCATGAGTATCTTGAAGTATTCTCTGGATATCATCAGGCACAGTCCAAGGACTTACTACATCTCGATCAGATTCTTGATCCACATCTTCTGTCTGAACTTCAGTGGCAACCTGTGGAGGCTTTTGTTTGGAGGTTCTGCTTACCCTGTACTCAGCAGCTGAGAAGAAAACAAGCCAATCATAGCACTGTAACACATCTTGCTGTTTTCTTCTGAATCTCTTGAAAATTTCCAAGAATGGAAGCCCCAGGTTTTAAGAACTAAAGCTGTGTCTAAGTCCATGTAAGAACAGCATGCCTTGCTACCTGGAGCTGATGTAGGGTTATGGTGAGAAAAGGCTGCCAGTCCCTTCCAGCCTCACGCTCTGAACTGCCTTTCCAGGGCAGAACACAAAAGTGGAATAGGACTATACATGGTGCCCACAGCATCCAGGTTCTGAATGCAGTCTCTCAAAAATGGGACATTGCTTCATTATTTGACAGAGGACTAAAACCACATAAATCCTGGATTTATGCCTCCTAGAAGACATGACATTTTAATGAAACCTAGTGATGGGATATGTGAGAAGAAAAGATATAAAAAGGTGTCAGGAAATCAGAGAAAGATCAACCTGTACATAGTTTCAAAAAATAATTCATGGAAAGGAGGATGAAAATTACTTCCCACATGTGTAGAGGGGATTGAAGAATTTAGGAAAAATGCCTATCTGCTTACTATTGCTTCTCTTGATTCCATGCATTGCCAACTCAAATAAATTGACATTTGACTATCCAAATTATGCCACTTGTGTAATGCTGGTGTAAGGCAAAGTGGAATGAACCCACACTGTTTCCTAAATTTTAGACTGATTCTCTCCTCGTTCTTTTTCTATCTGAATAGAAATACTACTGTTATTAACAAGTACTTTATCTGTTAACAAATTTGATTAGAGGAAACTGTTGTGGATTCAGATCTATGCAGACAGTCATGAAAAAAAGGATCACTAAAATCCAAAGGGATTTTCTGGTAAAGTATATTCATAAATTTTTCTATGCTAACATTATTACAAAATCATATCTTACGTAGATACTGTACAGAGGGATACAAAGACAACTCTTACTTTAAAGAGCTCAGAGAGTAAGCAGTAAAGAAAGGTACGGGAGAGGCACGATAGTTGTCCTGGTCTGCCAATCTGTGGGTTTCAGCTGAAAGACTGACTCAAAACCTCTGTCCCTCATGATTTCATAACATGTTTCAGGTATTCACTGAAATCTATCACTTTTGTCTGAGTAATCTTCAAACTGCATTCTGGGTAAAACCATTCAAGAGCTACACAGAGGGGACTGCTAAAAGTATTTCACAAGTTTCTATTTAAAAGGATTTTTATGTGGGGAAAAATTATTATTCTTCTAGTGTGTTCTAAGGTATTCTAGTGCTGTAACTGAGACCAGTGTTGCACAAATTGTACACAGAATGTATTCACAGAATGGCTCAGGTTGGAAGGCACCACAGTGGGTCATCTGGTCCAACCTCTCTACTCAAGCAGGGCCATTCTAGAGCACATGGAACAGGATTGTGTCCAGGTGGTTCTTGAATATTTCTAGTGAAGGAAATTCCACAGCCTCTCTGGGCAATCGGCTCCAGTGCTTGGTCACTCGCACAGTAAAAGAGTTCTTTCTCATATTCAGGTGCATTCCTCATATTCCCTGTATTCCTGCACATCAGTTTCTGCCTATCGTCTCTTGTCCCACCACATGGCACCACTGCGCAGAGCCTGCCTCTGTCATGTTGACATCCTCCACTCAGATACTTATACACACTGAGGAGGTCCCTGTCAGTCATCTCCACATTCTGAAGAAGAGAACACGTTCTGAAACGTGTTCTCTGTGTCTTATTTTCCCCCTGTGTTATGTAGCTGAACAGCACTGTGCCATTTCTGTATGTAACTTACATTGTCTAGAATTAACAGGACACTTTGTAGTATTTCTCAGTCTTCCTCTGGAAGTACTTTTCTGTAGGACCACACAGGTATTTCCTGGAAAGACAAAGCACTTCCTTTTTTAAATGCAGATCAAATATACTCAAAGATGTTTGAAAGTTTTCATCTACAAGCTTGCTGCCTGGATTACACAATAGCTATGGCAATTTAAGCCACTTTGGGTTTAAAGAGGGGTGATAAGGAAAGGTAACTCTCCTCATTTAACAGGTCAATGATAGCACAGTTTAAAAAACCTCAGGACAGAAAACCTCCAGGATTTTAACTCTGTTTTTCTTCACAGGTATTAAAGTTCCTCCCTCCCAAAAATCTAGCAGTAACTTGAAGATCATGTTCAGTATGTGCCTTCATGAAGAAAGTTCTGCTCTTACCCCTGGGCTGTGTTAAACCAAGAGCTGGGGTGAAACGCTGTACTTTGTGCCCAAAGCTGGGTTTGGCAGCAACTCTGCTCCTTTCTGATCGCACTTGAGGTGACGTTGTTCTGGACAATGGTTTATTTGCTGGTAACACCACTGTGTCAGATAACATTTCACTCATCAGAAAAAGGGCCTCTGATATTCTCGCACTGTGATGTTCAGACAGCAGGGCTCTACGGAGAAACAACATTACACATGACCTCATGCTATCACTCATTTAATTGCAGCTGACTTGTGAGTCTTGCAAGGCTACAGGAAGAACATTTGCCTGCAATTTCACAGAAAATTTTAAGATCATTAGCAAAAAGTTAAAACATTTCTTACCAATGGGTTTGACAGAAAGAATGAGTCAGTTTTGGAGAAGAAAAGAAACTATGGTATTTGGAAAGCAAAAAATACAGTCAAAGGAGGAAAGATGTTCAAATAATCCAAACAGAGATTATTTAGGCTTTTGGCTGAAATGTTATTCATGTCTGAAATTTCATAGATAAGATATTAAATCGACCTCTTCCTCAAGACTGAAAGATTAAGACATAAATAAGGATATCACGAGTTATATTTATAGCAACTTACCTGTCTTTTTCTTCTTTCTTCTTCTGTAAGGCTCTAATATCCTTTGAAGTAAGCCTATGATGCTGTGTAAGAAAGTATAATAATCATTAACTTATTATGTACTGTGGTCTTATTCCGATCTCTCACTCATAAAATGTACTTTTTGACTCAAAAGTTACTGTTTAAGACACACTTCAAGATGAAAACCAATATGAAAGCCTATGGTCCCACCAGGAAATGCAGGTAAGATTGTCTCTACAACCTTCCAGTCTCTGAAAATATACTGAAAGCTTACAGTCCCATTTTCCATAGTTCATATGCTTGAAATATTGACATTCCTAAGAGACGTGTCCGCTGTCAAGCTCAAAGTTTTAAATGGCCTCACCTTCAGTGTCCTAAAGATTAGTGACATTCCTAGTAAGAACTAAATTAGAAAATAGGACAAGGTTGCACTTTGACCTGTGCTTGCCAGAGTAGAATTTGCATTTTTTTAATGCTTCTAGAAAAACCCCAAACCAACCCAAGCCACCCATGAAAAGCTAAGAATCCTTCCATCTAATGATTTCACGAGAAAAGCCTATAACAAAAGCATCAGTTAGGTATTTAGGGCTGTAAATACAGGAAAGGGAGAGAAGATCCATTTTTCTTGAGTCACGTCTCTCTACACGTGTACAAAAGACCAGCCCACTTCAATTCTGACAGACTGTTTAAACCCCAGGGGAAATACCGTATTTCACATAGATGGTATCTGCTACTCTTTCTAAAATTGAATACAATGGAATTATTTAGTAATATGAAACTTGTGTGTGTTGCATGTTTGCTGCTGGAGTTAAAACCAATAGAGCTCCTGGCCAGGCCCAGGGAGTGGAGGTGAATGGTGCTGCATTCAGTTGGTGTCCATTAATTAGTGGTGTCCCCCAGGGACTAGTATTGAGCCCAGTCCTGTTTAATATCTTTACTGATGATCTGAACAAGAAAATTGAGTCTACTCTTAGTAAATTCATGGATGACACCAAGTTGGGTGGGAGTGCTGATCTGCTGGAGGGTAGGAAACCTCAGCAGAGGGATCTGGACAGATCGGATTGATGGGCCAAGGCCAGTGATATGAGGTTCAACAAGGTGAAGTGACAGGTCCTACCCTTGGGTCACAACAGCCCCATGCAGTGCTACAAGCTGGGAGAGGAATGGCTGGAAAGCTGCCCAGTGGAAAAGGACCTGGGGGTGCTGGTTGACAGCAGCTGAATATGAGCCAGTGTGCCTAGGAGGCAAAAGGTGCCCAGTGACATTGTGGCCTGTATCAGCAATACTGTGGTCAGCAGGACCAGGGCAGTGATTGTTCCCTTGTACTGGGCACTGGTGAGGCCACACATGGAGTCCTGTGTCCACTTTTGGGCCCCTCACTTGAAGAAGAAGATTGAGGTGCTGGAGTGAGTCCAGAGAAAGGCAGTGAAGCTGGGAAAGGTCTGGAGCACAAGTCTACTGAGGAGTAGCAGAGGGAGCTGGGGCTGTTTAGCCTGGACAAGAGGAGGCTCAGGGGTGACCTTATTGCTCTCTACAACTACCTGAAAGGACATTGTAGCTAGGTGGGGGTCAGTGTCTTCACCCATACAACTAGTGAGAGGATGAGAGGATATCACCTCAAGTGCCAGAGGAGGTTTAGATTAAACATTAGGAAGAATCTCTTCACAGAAAGCGTGATCAGACACTGGAATAGACTGCCCAGAGAGGTGGTGGAGTTACTGTCCCTGGAGGTGTTGAAGAAACAACTGGATGTGGCACTTAGTTCCATGGTCTAGTTGACATGGTGGTGTTAGGCCATAGGTTGGACTTGATGGCCTCAGAGGTCTTTTCCAACCTAAGTGATTCTGTAAGGACAGCGATGGCTGCCCTTGGTATCCTACCGGGCTGTAAAGGATGCTTAGCATCTGAACTCTCCCTTTGGAGGTTTTTGGGAGGTGCACGGGAAGATGAAACAAGATGTAATGCAAACACATCTTTAACAACTGCTGTAGCTATCACTCTCTGAGGAAATACGTCTCTCATCAACGAATGTTACAGCTGCATCCATTACAGTCAAGAGACTATACACTGTAATTGTCACCTGCAGCCAACTGTCATCTTGTTTAGAACAGTAGTGTGTTTTCCTTACTGGTGTCTTCTGACACAACTATGGCCAGTTCCAATAAAATAAAATTATATATCTAAAAATCCAACTTTAAAACAAGGGGGGGAAAAAATCAGTCAGCCTTTATATTATCTAACCTGAATAATCAAATCTAGTACAATATGTAACGTTTACTCTTCAAGATACCCATTATTCTTACCACATTCCTTCTTAGATTAAATGGATTACGTTCTTTCTGTCTTTGTTCATCCAGTTTCTTCAAATATTCTCTCATTCTTTCCTTTTGCTTTCTTTTCATCCATGTTTGTATCTCTTTCCTCTCCTTTTCTGTTTTTCGAGGATGTCCAGCAGCAGAATCATGAACCCTAAGGGCAATGGAAATAGGAAATGATCTAGCACATCCTGCAAACAATGGGAACTACACGATGTAATAAAAATACTGCAATCCATTTAAAATTCTGACTCAGCTGAAAGCCTAAGTAATGAACAAGAGGAGGAATTTCTTTTGCAAAATTTAACTTCATAAACTCCTGGCACACAACTCATTTTCAAGATGCTTCCTAATACTTTTTTCGAGTTGTCCAGTACATTTGGATAATAGCACCAAAGCTTACGTTGGTGTGAACTGTGGCACCAATGCAACTGACTGCCATCCTGAACAGCTGTATTTTTTGACTTGTCAGTAACTAGTATCACATACAGGAGTAGGAAATAGATGTCACTTTTATCTATCTCAGGAAAGAACACCGCTGATTTAATAACTGACAGCCAGGAAGGCGTAGAAATCTCCGGCAGGGAGGGGAGCATGACAAGCTGGACTCTGAGGTTGGAAGCTACTGAAGCTGCTGTGCCACTGACAGGAAGTTTCTATTCTGTCTATCAGAAATGCTTTAGAAGGCCCCAGTCCACTGGCTGAACTGAACCTGGAAAACCAAGGTTAAAACAATTTAACTAACACATAAGAAAAAACACCAATGGTATTACCTAGAGAGTTTTTTAGCTTGTATTTTTGTAAAGCTCAGCTCCAATGGAGCTACTGTTTTCTACTAGATCTAGAAAACTAACAGCAGCTAGCAGTAAAAAATACATATGTAGGACCATTATATTTAATGCATAGGCTCACTCCAGTTTTACAATCTTCACTCTGTTGCTTTACACTTTTCATACAGTAACACCTAAAACTTTCTGGTGATAGCTGGCCTCAGTAGACAGCTACTAGCAGCAGTTGTATGTATGTTGTTGAAGAAAGTGATTTGCAAATAGGAGAAATAACCAATGTGCACAGACAGTAGCACCATCTACATTGGTAGCTCTGTTACTTGTAACTAGAAAAAAACTTTGAATGGTTCTGCAGCTTTTGCATAAAGCAATATAGCAGGCACTACTAAAGTCAGAATAAATGCCTGAAAGTAGCTAACGAAAGGGCTTTCATTCAGTTTGAAAATGAATGTCTGAATGTCTTGATTTTTATTAAGTGATGAGTCCAACCTGACAGTTCCCTTTTTGGCAAACAGATTTTCACCAAAACCAGTCTCAAGAACACATACCTATCACGTAGATCTCTCCATATGTGAGAGCCTGAAACAGAAACAATCCTTATTAATAAAACCCTTGCATTTGTACACAAACTAATCACACGTGTTAAAAATCCTGTGGGATAAAATACAGAAATGTATCAACCTGGATAAGCTGACATTAAAAAAAATAATTATATTTTATACAGGCTTAATGGCCTGTGAGAGAACATGTCACTTACTGCCAGGTTAGCAGAGAGCCTCCAGAGAACATTAATTAACAGCTCCCTGACTGACATGTATAGTTTTGCTAGGAAGATGATATCACTGTTGCCAGTTTTCTGCCATGACCAACTAACTGGAAATTCTCTGTTCCAATTAATTATACAGCTTCTCATGGAAAATTAATGACTGACACTTACTTGAAGAAGCCAGACACTCAGAAGCCTGGAATTCAGAAGATGCAACTGAAGAGCAGTATGAATGCCTTGGAAGTAAGAACACTGCTCTCCCTCCTAAACTAAACTCAACATCTGAAAAAGTTGTAGTTGTAATTTAGTATCATCTATAGTTTTCTTAGCTTGCAAGTAACAAGTTTATTATATAGAAAAAAACTGTATTACTATTTTCAAAATTTTTCTGGCTTTTTTTACTGTTTTATTTACTATTTTCAAAATTATCTGGGTGTGTATACTAGTTCAGATTTACTTGTGATGCATACAGATACAGGAACCATGTTTTAACACCTATTATGACAGGCTGCTGCAAAAGTGACTGTAAATGCATGTTCACTTGTACAAAGTATGTAGCATTTTTAGAAGCCTGACTGTGAGCAATGCAGGCAATACACAGACAAAATAAGACACTACATTTTTAAACTCAGGCAACAGGTTGCTTGCAGAGTGATTTTTCCTCTTCCCTTTAATGTTATTGTAGTCTTCATAATGGGAAAAAATGAATTTACTCAATTTACTCTCACTTTGCAAAATGAAATAGACTTCACAAAATAATGTTTAAGGACACAGCCAGTAGTTACCAATTTATTTTGCTGATATGTACTGGATTTGAGATCTCACCTTTTTAGGCATAGGAAGATGACAGAGAAGATAAAGACAGTTTTTGGAGGAAGCTCTGATGTTCTCTGACACTGTGCTGGTTTATAGTCACCTAACTAAATCAGTACAAATCACCACAGTGATAGGTTTCAGAAAGAGACCCTAAGTTACATGTTTTCTTCCAATAAGAGTGAGTTTGAGAGCAAGAATGACTCACTGTGGACTGTTTTCAAAGCTTAGTGATACTGTTCTGTCATGTAACTTACAAACTCATTGTCAATGAAGCTATTCTAAATAATGCAGACTGACTTTAATGAGCTTGTTGGTATTACATAACATTCTGTGCATATATATATATTATTTTTTTTTCTTTATATATACTCTGTATATATTCTTTCTCATACATACATATATATATGGAAGTATTACACCAGGAAGAAAAGGTTTACTTATTTTTAAAAGGCGCAAACAGGAAAAATATACAATAAAGGTTATACCAGAAGATGACTTCACACCACTGGGAAAGTCAGAAGCCAAGGCTACAAAGGCAGGAGAATGTACTTCCACTGTAGTATAGCTGGGAACAGGGCATTCCAAGTTTAAGCCCTCCTTTTGATCACCTGTGACATCTTCAAAAATCATGTTTGTCAGATAACGTTCCGATGCTGTGGAAAAAATAATACAGTAATTAGCGCAGACCAATGAAAAATTCTCACAATGCAAAAACTATCACTCACATATATTTGCTAGTGGCATCTTTAGTTTATCTGTCAAACCTACAACAACCTGAACCTGGATCAGTTGTGCCTACCTGTGAAAGGGCACTTCAGAGCTGTGATGTGTGTACCAGTCGTGCACACGACAAGAAAAACACTGCACTAAGAGTTGCTCTGTGTGAGGCTAATGGATATGTTACATATTGCCTTACGTATGGACACAGATATAGACATGACTTGGTTCTATCACTTGGCTTTGTATTAACTCCATAAGTAGATTAGACTATGTTCTTGGCACAGTACAGTAGCTATAAGCAGGTACTATATAGCCATTTGTTATATAAACAGTAAATCATTCCATACATCTGCTATAGGCAACAGTTAAACTGATGATAAAATCAGTAGATACTACAACTCAATAGCCACCAAAGATGCAGAAAAAAACCTTTATATATATGAAAACCTCAACTGAGGACAAATTTCATATCCTTTTACATCAGTGAGCAATGTACTCATAAGTGCCATGTTTTGATTTCATGATACAATAGAAATACATAGTTTTAGAAGTCCCGTAAAAGTCAGTTAAGTTTAATAATCAATTGCAAATTTATTATCCTCCTGTTAACCGAGCACATACCATCACTAGTGACTCCAGCAGCATCAGGTAAGAAAGAAGGAGCACCAAGGTCTGAATTCTCAGCCATTTCAAAATCTTCTATTAGTTTCACTAACTGTAAATGAAACCCAAAAACTCTGTAATGATAATTTTTTCAAGGCATTTCTGAGAGTTACACCACAGATACACACGTAAAGTCTACTTTGCATAAGATTTTTTCCTTTGGAATCTTATAAATATTTTATTCTAGTTTTCTGATTCAAAACCAAACAGCAGTTCAGGAATCAAAGTAGCTCAAGTAGATTAATTTCACCTTTGGAGTTCAATCCTGTGGACCCTTACTTCGAGAAAAATACATATAAACTGTATTATTTGTGTCAACAGTTTTATTCTTACAGATCACCTTATTTTTAAGTAGATACTTTTCTTATCCAAAATCCATGGAAACCAAGATATTTCCATAATACTCACAAATCAGAAGTTTCCTGAAGTTTAAAACTAGAAAGTGAAAACTAAAACTGACTCACATAAATTGAGACATTTTAAGGAACATTACTCTCAAAAAGAACAAGCCTTATACCTGATATCTAATACATGAGAAATCATTATAAAAGCAATGACAAACTAGTATGAACTCAAAAAAAGACAAAAAAGAAAATGGGTTTATCTTCAGATATCCAGAAGTTTTAAAACCTAAACACAGTGAAATGTTGGAACAAATGCAGGATATGTGAAGATGTTTTTTCACTACAGGCTTTCAAAAATCTGACTTAGATAACAACCTTGATGAAGAATATAAGTGATTAAATAATCCACCTTAGTGTAATAACTAATACAATGCATTTAAATGTAAATGCTTTTATTTTACTTCCCTATAGCTGGTAAAAATGCAAATATTTATGATACAAATAGGAACATGTTCCAGAAATAGCCATATCATAATGTGCAGAGGCACAATTGCAGGAATCTTTGCCAAAACGTCCTCCTGCTCAGCCTAAACTCATGTGCTATTCCATTTTTCCAATTACACAGAAATGAAATATATTCTGCCCATTCACTGATAACATCACCGTTCTGTCCAGCACTTGGTCCATTGTAAGCAAACATGTCAGCCAACAGATCTGCCACTAAATGTGAAAAAACTCTGTATTATTCTCAATCTCTCTCAACTGATACTAAGCATATTTGAGAACACATTATTCTGAAATGTATGTTTTGCCTTTTGCTGAGAAAATTTACAAAATAAGCTGTTTAAAAAAAACCCTGTAAGCAGTCAGAACTCACCAGTCTGGCATTTCTGAAATCCTTCTCCATATTTTCTGTGATGTTCTGTAGGGTCTGTAACTGCATATCCATTTCCTGCTGCTTTGTGGAAGAGTATCCTCTGCCAATAACTTTGGATGGAAGCCCTGAACAAGGAAGAGTTCTGACATCTTCATGTAGTATGCTCCAAGTTATATGATCTATAGCAGAATCTGACTTATCTGTCTTTTGCACTTGGCTTGATACATTTTTCTGATGATCATCTTGAACTGAAAAAAAAAAGAATGCACCAACATAATTGAATAAACTGCAAACATCTAAATAGTGCAAGTAATTAGGCATAGCTCTGCTTTACCTATCTGTGTTTTGGGAGGCATGAATGGTCACAAAGGAGGTTAACTGGGGAAAGGCTGCAGGTTTTCTGAGAGTTACAACAAAAGTGTATGGCTTTTTGTTCAGATTTATAAATGAAATGGTTTACCTTGCTTCTGAAGCACCTCAGGTGGAATTGCATCAGTAACAGAAGCTGCTATGTGATGAAGTTTTGCAGTAGATGGAATTTCCAGCTTCACATTTTGCTGCGCAGTAGCTATCTCTTCTGCAGACTCGGGTATCATGGGCAAATCATTAAGGATGTCACTGTCTTCAATGTCAATCACACTGATATATTCATGTTCATGCTAAATAACAACAAGATCATAAAGAATTATACAGGAAGTGCTTTCAATAAATTGTTTACAGTGCATTGTTAACCATTTCATGTGTTACCACTTTGAGCTGAAAGGCTTTTCATTCTGGAGACAAAGTAACTACAATCGTCCCTATGGAATTGTACAACTGACTTATACAGATATAAACAGAATCCAAATTCATGATGTCAATACCAACAGCATACTTAAAATGCATTTTAACCATATGTACACTGGATCACTAACCAGGTCAGGTGCATCTGACAGAAAGGATGGCAAAGGTCTCTCATCCACTTCAGTGGGGAATCTCAGGTTTAAATGCATGTCTGGTGGTAATATCGCTGGGGAACTAGATGATTCTGCAAGAAAATTATAATAGTCAGTATCATATTTAAGGTAAAAGTCACAAAAGTTCAGACTATTTGGAAACAGCTCCACATTCTCTAGATGATAAGAAAAGCTTTGATTAAGCTACAGTCTGAACTGCTATTAATTTCCAAGTCCCTCCTGACTAGGTTAGAAAAAGAAAAGTCTATACTTGATCCAAAGAAATTTTATTACTCAGCTGGAAAGACCTCTAGTAAAACTATATGCATATAAGTCATGTGATGCAGTAAAGTTATCTTCAAACAGAACAACACTATTGAATAATAATAAATTAATATGATCACTTGGTACCATAGGGAAAATACTTATGCACTGAAATCTGCATACTTCAATTTATTAACATTTTTAAAATGGGGAGAGAAAACCCAAACCAAAACAGATCATCTTTAGCACAAATTCAAAGTTGCCCTCTATTTTTCCTTCTACAAACTGACCTAAAAGATCACTGATTGAGAATGAAATTCCTACCTGAGACCGTAACATTTTAACCTGCATCTAGCTTATTACACAACTCAGCAGATGCATGGAACAACTGCATAATTAGCTGAGCTACTTCAGCTTTATTTCATGTGGGGCTGTAATCTGTTTTAACATCCCACTGGTCAGTTCATTTGGTCTACATTACACAAAATCCCTGAGATTAAGCAGCACTAATATCCACAAAAAACCCTCCTCATACAGGAATAAAAAGGCATATGTACACTGCACCACGAAAAATCCCAACCAAACATTTAATAAACATTTTTACAGTTACTTTGCTTGGGTGTCAAGAAGTCAAATAAATTAGCATGTTACCTGCACCCTGCATTAAGCTACCTCATTTACAAAACTCATGTTAAAATTGTAGTATTTTTATAGACTTCCCAAACAGGAAATGAAATAAAGAGAGAGAGGCCACACCTGACACAGGAATAGACATGACTGGCTCATGTTCTTGAACTTCTGAAACCTCATTTCCATCACTGATTATGTGATCCTGATAAGGTTCGAGCACTTGATTGGAAAAAAACAAGACAAAAATGCATGTATTCAAGAAACTTAAAGATACTAACAGCATCATCTGAATGTACATTTATGATTTGTTATCTGACAATCAAAAAAAGTTGGGGGAAGAGGCAGGGAAACAATTTCAGTCACATGTGGCACAGTGGCTAAAGTGCGTTTAGAGAAAGTCAAGTTAAAAGGAGCTTTAGGGAAATAGTCACAGCAGAACTGAGTTACAGGAAGCATGGGGAGACTCTTGCATAGTTGTATCAATAATATTTTTATTTATAATTACTTTAACTAACATTTTGCAATTCACACTCCAGTATCCTCTGGTTTAATTCGCTTTGAAACAAAGTTAGAGCACAAAAAAACTGCTTTTCCCTTTACAATCTTACTGCATTTTGGAAACTGACCAAACATCACAATTAACAAGAAGCAACACCAGAAACAGCTGACTGCTGTAGGTCACACAGGCAGCACGTACCTGGGGGAGTATTTGTACTTGCATCTTGAGTTTCTGCCGGTTTTTTTCCTACAGAAGCCATATAATGTAGATCTGCTGAAGTAGTAACTGTGTCTGAAATGTGACAATACAAAATAGGTGTCTATAAATACAAGAATTAGATATCCTTGAAAACAATTATATCAACTCAAAACTATGGGATCAAACACTTTTTTCTTTGCATTTCTGACAGATAATTTTAACTTTTCTCCAAGCATACCTCATGAATGATTTCAAGAAGAGCTTGTGCGACCTACTTATTTCTTTATTGGTATTTCTACAGAGGTTTGCAAGTCAACATTTTCTAAGTCCAAATTTCTGAGAATAGATTGCATTCTACCCTGCAACAGACTAAATATTGTCCTGCATTTACACACTAGAAAGAAGCAAATCTTTCCACAGGTATGGTCTTCATTTTGCAAGCTACAGACATTGTAAACACTGAGTTTCTTTTTAAAAGAGCTTTAAATTTTGTGTAATTAGAATATGCAGGCAAATAAATTTGGAATCATATATTTTAAAAATAAAGAAACTGATTTAGGATTTCAAAGATTGTTTACAGCATCATCCTGATAAATCACATGAACAGAAATCACCATGAACCACAGTTACTGAAATTCACTCAACATACCATTATGATTTCATTAACTTCATTGTTTACAAACATGAATAAAAGACTACCACTCATTTTTACGTAAAATTGAAGTATTTCTGTAATTTTCAGGAGAGCTAGTCTGAGTCTTCAGATAGTTGATATAAGATCATAAATTTGCCTCCATCTCTCCACACTAATCCCCTAAAAACTGACTATCCTTAAACTCCAAATATCTCTTGCACATCCTGGAAGGTCTGGGAAAGATCTCATAAGCCATTAAACTGTACTGCCCACAGACTGCATGATCTGAGTTTCTAACATCCTGATGAGTTTTCCTTCGGTATCTAACAATTTATGTTCCTTGATATTTATCTTTAAGCACTCAAAGCATTAAAAAGACTTGTACTTGCCCACTGAGATGAAAAAATCATCTTGAAGGTAAGATGTTGATTTTGTTTGGTGACCCTAATATGAGGAAAGAAAGAATCATCTTTAAAAATAGTTCCAATGCAGATTAAAAGCTTCTTGATCCTGTAACTATCCAATATACTTTGTGTGAGTAATGATTTGGTGGAAAAAAACCCAGATCATTGTCATTTACTTTTCTTACCCCTTTTTTTAATTCTTCTGATTTGTTCCAACTCAGTGGAACTACTGACTATGTGATATTCTCATATGTTCCTTGGGGTGATCTGCAGTAACATAAATTTCTTACTCCTGAGTATGTGCTCTCTCTGCTGTACCATAATTAACATCTCCTAGGTCTGGTGAGGTTCTCCAGCTGCTGTGCTGGACAGTGAAGTCTCAAAGAAGGTAGGGTATGGACCAGAAATAGAGCCTGCTGCTCTGGGTAGTGAACTAGCTTTTAATTTGGTAGTGTTCTAGCTTGAAACCTGGCACTTGCAAGGAAAACCCACAAAAGGTATCAAAAAGGCCTCAGCAACTGGAAAGTAAAAGTGCATAAATCAAAATGAAGCTTGATGAAGACTTGCTTCTCTCAGTTTCTGGGCAGAGACAGAACTGATATCTCATGCTCTCTATCCTTACTCTTGTACTGTCATCCATCTAGCCTCCCATGAAAAGGGAGGTCATTTGTCCTAGCATTACTACTAGGCTAAATATAATTCATTTTTTTTAACATTTTGGTATGCGTTTACTGTAAATATACATACAGATTAATATCCTATCAAAACAGACAAGCTCATGTTTCAGAAGAAACAAAAGCAACCTTGGAATACTTTGCAAAAATAAATGCCCTGTTCATGAAATTTGCAAGTATATGAACTGAAAATATGTACACTGTTTGTAGACTAGAATCTGGAAGAGATTTACATTATCGTTTTGGTTTACAGTTCCTGCTTCATTCTTTTCTGTTAATACTTGAATGGAAAAAGGCAAAGAGGAAAACAACATTCTGTACCCCAGTCCCTGATTCATCAACCATTGCTGTGTCATTGATACTGATAATCGAGTCCTCTGGGCGGAAGGACACACTTGGTTTCTTCTCCTTCTCCTTCTCTTTCATTTGCTTCTTATTACGCCTCTTTTTTCTGTTGAGATATCAATTATGGATAAAGAATAAGAAGTGCACTGCAATAATAAAAATAGCTCTCACTTTTCTCTAAGACTATTACTATTAAGAAGTATGCATTTAAATAAAGATAGAAAAGATAAACAGAACTGTCGCATACAGATCAGTCCAGGACACTATTTTTGCCTACCTGAAATCTACATAAAGTTGTAGGAACTCATAAAAATACTATCACGCTAAGATCTGTTAATTGTTTAATAAACTATTTATATTAAATATGACAGACCACATAACATCCTACATCTGTATTTTGTGTATAATCAGTAATTGCTACACAAAATGCCTGTAAGGAATCTGTAAGAAACAAACTTCAGGTACTGTAGAAACTTTCTAATTAACTATTTTACTCAAAAAGTGGCAATTCTTCTTTAATATGTGATAAGCAGGTTGTAAGAAAACAACTGCAGCTTCAAGCATTTCTGCAGATAATATCAAAACACGTATTCTAGACTTCATCTGAGTTACGCGTGTAGCAAATTTTTTCCACCGTAAGAGTGAAAGAGTCATCTTGATTGAGCCTGTGCTCCCAAATGCCAGAGTGAAGTGCATCATAACTGGAAGTGTTCTATTCTAGAACATTCTATCAACATTCTGTGAGAACAGGACAATGATAGGTAATCAGCTTAAGCAAACTGCTTTAACTGCTTGTGCAATCAATCGGCATACTCAGCAA